ATTTCAGTTCTCAACAAAGCCAGAGAAAGTTTTCCATACCACTACAGAGACCTTGCAAGTTTCCACCCATAACTGTGGTCAACCTCTAGTTCTTCAGGTGATAATCACCACCATTCATAGTCAATTTCTCCATCCAAAAGAAGAAAAACTCCATTTTTCTCCACAAGCAATCAGAAGAAAACCTACAGCCCAATATCAGATCAATACAGCATGACATAAACATTCAATAGAGAGCCACAGCTCTCTACTAGCTGCTCTACTAGCTACAAAGGGCAGAGCTCCATTGCCACAACTCTCCTCCCTGCACTCCCTGTCACATGTTCCCAGCACCTCACCCACCCAGGCCTGTCCACCCACCTCCAGCCTCAGGGCAAACCACTCCAAGGACCACCCCGACACAAAACAGATCCCACCAAAAGCAGAGTGCAGCTTCCTGCAGCTTGAGCTTACATACTGTCACTCTAGCAAGGTCATCAAGGCTACCAGTTTAAGCACAAGGAACAAAGGGGAAAATGTACACTTTGGGGAGGAAGTAGTGTGGAAAAAAAACTCCATTAGCAACAGCTTTCTGTTAGAAAAGTTCAAACCAAACACCTAATTTCTTGTTTGTGCAATGAACCTGTTTCAAGGCATCATTTTATTTACATTGTTTCAATAATATACCTTATTTGTTTGAAAACTGAGTGAAATCTCATGTAGAATCATAGAATCAATCACAGAATCATCAAGGTTGGAAGATCATGAGGTGTAGCCATTAACCTGGGACTCCACTGTAACCCCTAAACCCTAAACCATATCTTCCAGGCCCAGATCCAGACTCCTCTTTAAACACTTCTAGAGTTCTATTAACCTACATCCAAATTTTTTTTTTTATGTCAGTATGTACTACTATCAAGAGAAACTTGCAACCCTTAACAATTAAAAGGCAGGATTTTCTGCACAAGGAATGGTCTAATCACATCACCCTCAGAAGCCAAAGAGTGAAAGATTCAAAGTCCATGGAAAAAAAAACAAGTAATAGAAGAGCAACCCTAAAATACAGGAATACCACATGATAGCACAGATGCGAGAATTATCCAAAACTGAATTCTTGGTAGCTTCTACCAAGAAAAGTGTTCAGGTCTAGGAAAAGTATGCATCCCTGCACTTACCAAAACACCCATCAGATTATTTCCTCACTGTAAACTTGTAAACTAAAACAGCAGTGTCATGCACTATTGCACTCATCAAAACAAGATGCTATTTCTGAAGCTTAATAACAATTTGCATGTCAACACTTAATTATTTGATTACTGATCATTATCATAAACATTACCAGCTGCTGGGTTTTACCAATGCAGTTGGGAGGACAGACTACACAAATAAAAGAATGCACTTCCAAAATGTAAGACAGAAATCTCAGTCAACAAAATGGGCACTATGTTTGTTCTTCAAAAGGATACCCACATTCAGTATTCCATAACAAAAAGCTCCTTAAGGTGAGTTGGTTGAACATCTCATCTTTCCAGAAACAGAATTACTGAAGTACAGTAATTGCTGCAAACGTCTCAGATTATCAGAAGCAAAGACATATGCAGCTTCCCAAACATCTTTCCCAAAGTAAAAGGCTAGAGCTTCCGGTGTTGCAACCACCAAATAGCTTCCTTGACTATGTTAGCCAGCTGTGAAAAGTCTCTCCACATCCCTTTCAGCCTTTCCAGGCGAGACAGTCAAAACACATGAGCTAAAGCCTTGGCAGTAGCTTTCTCCCAGTGCTGTTTACAGAATCTCCTGAGCTAGAAGGGTCCCACAAGGATCATCAAAGTCCAACTCCAGTCCGTTTGAACATTGTCCACACACTTCTTGTACTCTGTTGGGCTTAGTGCTGTTCACTTCCCTGGGGAGCCTGTTACAGAGCCCAAACACCCTCTAGGTGAAGAACCTTTTCCTAATATCCAACCTATGCCTCTCCTGACACAGGTTCAGGCCATTCCCTTGGGTCCTGCCACTGGTGATCAGAGAGAAGAGATCAGTGCCTGCCCCTCCCCTCATGAGGAAGCTGTAGATTGCAATGAGGTCTCCTCTCAGTCTCTACACACTGAACATGCCAAATTACCTCAGCCACTCCTCATTTGGCTTCCCCTCAAGACCCTTCATCATCTTCATTGCCCTCCTTTGGACACTCTCTAATATATTTGCATCTTTCTTACACTGAGGCACCCAAAACTGCACACAGGACTCAAGGCGAGGCTGCACCAGTGCAGAACAGAGAGAGACAATCATCTCCCTCAACCAGCTTGCTGTTTCACCACTATAGCAACATGCAGTTTAACCATAATCACAGTAACCTGTGTAAAGCAGAGAAAGTCAGTACACTAAAGACATTAATCTGTTCTCACTTACACAGGCAGCAGCAAGTCAGTTCCATTTCTGAAAAGCAGACAGCAGAGTACTGACATGGCAACTATGACATCCTCATGCTTTCATGGCACAAAATGCTAAACTGACTTTTCACAGAAATAGCAGAAGTCTTCAAAAAGTTGCCATTTTACATAGCTCAATATTAGGTTATTGGGTTCAATGATGGGAAGAGGAAATATGCAATGGGTTTAAACAAAAAATATTTAATTCCTAAATTTATCTATCAGCCAAATTAGTGATAAAGGAAACTCTACAGCCTTCTTTGTCCCACATGGACTTGTATAGGATAAAGTGCTTATGATACACTTTTGCTAACGCATTATAAAACTCTGGTACAGTAAAGGGGGTGGGAGACAAACTCTCCATCTTCAGTATGTCCTCACCTCAACTTTTAGTTCTTACTGCAAGAAAAAGAAACAGTTAAGGACATATGTAAAACGATGAACACAGCAATTCCACAAGCAACAGCAAAGAAAACCATCTGATCATTAATGTATGTTTCAGTGCTACTCAATGCACCCAAGAGAAACTCTGAAAAACACAGAATCTCACTTAGCTTTAGGTTGCTTGGAAGTGAAAAGATAACACCATGGAAAAATAACACAGACTCACAGACTCTATAATGTGCACGTTCAGTAAGAAGCCGAAAATTCACATTGCAAAAGTTGCTCAACAGCCATATAGGGTCCAAGCATCTCTAATGGTTAAATCCTGTAGAAAACAATGTCATTGTTTCCAGACCCCTTCCTCAACTCCACAAAAAAATGGACTTGTAAAACCATAATGCCTAGCACTTCCCAGATTATATTCCATTCTGCTTTCCTGTACTGGATTTCTCAGCACTCTCAGGACTGAGAATCTAAGCCAGTATCCCAACTGATAAATCTCCAGTCATGCCCTGAGAAGCCGACAAAAGTGGATATGGGGTTAAGTCCAAAGTGAGCCATCTCCAAAATATTCCTGCATCCTCCAGCAATCTGAGGCTCAGCAACTTTTCATTCAATAGCTTCAACATATACTTTCGCTTTGAGGCTATTCTTGTCTGGATGGAAGTGCAGTGTCAGTAGTTGCAACATGCTGTAGAAGAGCCTACAGTTTCTCTGTGCATCATCTGGAAGTTCACTTCTTTTGTCTGTTCCAAGCTGGCTATCTGCAAATCCCTTAATACCCCCTCATCCTCGTGTTGAAGGAAACAGCAGATAACAATTCTCTATTCCCTTCTCCATATCACTTAATGATTTTACAGAACTGTCTCATATTAACTTTTTTTGCAGGCTATTTTTCCTCATCTCAAAACTTTTAGTGTCCTTGGACAGTCCGTACTAAGATCATCTCTGACACCTTTCTTTCCACCTTCTCCAAGGTTGTTCACTTCTCCCTGAGATGCTGGAATCAGGACTCTATATGCTATTTGGTATTATACAGAAATAAGTAACATGTCGGTGTAACCATTTCCTTTATTCCTTATTCCTCTCACAGTAATTCTAAGACTTGATTAGGTTTTGTCTGAGCAATGATGTAGCATCTTAATGGAGCTACTTACTCAGTTTAGAGTGATAAAAG